GTTCACTCTCGAATGCTTGTCTTTTATATATTTTGTTAGTCCAATAAGAAAGGTGTCATTGCACACTGCAATACTGCATTTTTGTCTTTTTTGACATCTTGTCTACTGGACTAATACGGCTTACCCATTTATATTGCACTATATAGATATATAGATATAGATTGTCCTTTTGATTTAATAATATTCTTGAGAACCTTTTATGATGTTGATCTTCATAGACAGTCCTAGAGATTATTCAAGCTCTATTTCATTTATAAGTATTATTAATAAAGATTTTTATTTTGAATATAGGATATAGGGAGATGAGTGAGTATACATAGAACTAGGTGTGAGCTTATCTTGTCTCTCTTATCTGAGACTCATGTTCTCTTTTTGCAGATGCATTTATTTAATTATTCATTAATGTTTCCATTATATACACTAATGCACCTGTATGGGGACTCGCTCACACACTAATGTTAGTTTAGTTTTATAACACCTTTGTATAGATTGTATCTATTTCCTTATCTATAGTATGCCATTTATCTCCTTCTGTTAGGGCTTGGTTTGTTTCACTTTGGTAAGAGTTTGTATATATACTATATTGCCATCCAATCAGAAGGCCACATGGAGTTTGGAGGTCTGTAGCTATTGACTCTGCAGACTGGTGGCGACTTCTGTGCACTGTGACCTTCAGCATGCGCTGACCCCCTCTCTGTCATTTTACGTGGCCTACAACTTCGTGGCTGAGTTGCTGTTGTTCCCAGTTGCTTCCACTTTGTTATAATACCAGTAACAGGTGACCGCGAAATATTTAGTAGCCAGGAAATGTCACATATGGACTTATTGCCCAGGTGACAACCTATCACCGTACCACGCTTGTAGTCACGCTTGTAGTCACTGAGCTCCTGAGAGCGACCCATTCTTTCACAAATGTTTGTAGAAGCGTCTGCATGCCGAAGTGCGGGATTTTATACACCTGTGGCCATGGAGGGGATTGGAACACCTGAATCCAATGATTTGGAGGTGTGTCCCAATACTTTTGGCAATATAGTGCATCTGCACCTGGAGCAGCCGACAATTACTTTCGGTATACGTTCAGTTTGTTTTATTATAACTACACTCGTGCAGCTTTTACTGCTCTGCCTCCTATGTGATCCTTATATGTGACTCTATGAAAGGGATATGATGTAATTTGTAGTTTCCCCATGGATATGGCTGGAAGCTCTGTTTTCTAATAGAATCAGTAACGCCAGGTCAAACAGGTATCAGGAACAGGATCACAAATGCATAATACAGCTAGAGATCTCTCAGCAAGGTGCAGATGCTGGAGCCATCCCTAAATAGCCCCCATGGGCTCCAAGAACAGGCATGTGCATGCGATTGCACATGCATGGTGTTGCGCATGCACATTATTGTATGCGCATGCATGCGCATCGACTCTTGCAGTGATCCGGGCAGAAGCTCCACTATGGGTGCTGAATGATGCACCCTGACACTTGTAAATCCATAACCACTTAAGAAACAACATTTGTGTCACACTCACAAGACTCATCTCCTATACATGATCATCAGATCTATAGGTGACAATCATTAGTTATTTGTAGAGGTGCACCGAAATGAAAATTTCAAAACCGAAACTAAATTATATTTATTTTTTATAAACTTTTTACATTTTTAATATTTTATTAATTTTTTATTCAATGTTTAAATTTTTTACCTAACTTTTAGGGGTTTCGGGGAAATATTGGGGGTCGAAACAGTCCCCTGATATTTCCCTTTTAAAATAGAAAAAGAGATTGAGGACAGAGTCCTCAGAGACACAGATTCCTCAATCTCTTTTTCTGCAGCCCCTGTTATCAATGAAAAGGAATCCTCTATACTGAGTGATCCTGTTCATTCATAACATGAGGACAGAGTATGTTTACTATAACCACAATCATGAATGAACAGGAAGTGATGTAGATCACTTCCTATTCATTCATAATTGGGGACACAGTAAACATACTCTGTCCTCAATTATTTACAAACACTCAGCGATCACTGATCACTGACTGCTTGTACTCGCTCTCCATCCTGGATCGGCTGTCACAGGAGGCTGAGCGAGCGGTGCGGGAGGAGAGCTCAGCCTCCTGTGACAGCAATGTCTGTCTCCGCCCCCACACCGCTCTCCTGATCTGTATTTAATAGTCATATTGTCTTTGCGGGAGGATTGTAAATGTGTAACTAAAGTCTTCGTAAAAAGGTAATTAAAACATACATAGGAACCATTTCATCTCGTCCAGCAGCCATCTTCGTTGAGAATGACTCTGCTGCATACAGCGTTCAGATAGAGGTTAAACTGGAAAACTGTATTTCATACTCACCGGCAATTTCCCTTTCCTGTCTAGCTCCATGGCAGTACACTAATGGCTTAATCCCCTCTCTCCTCCTACTAATCCAGACCATAACTCATAAATTAAACAGCCCCTGAGCCCACCGTTCCATAACTAGACAATTTTGAATGGGCGGGTATAGTGCTGCCATGGAGCATGACAGGAAAGGAAAATTGCCGGTAAGTAGGCAATACAATTTTCTAGTTTTCCTGTCAGCTCCATGTCAGCACACTAATGGGAATTAACTAGCACACAACCTGGGAGGGAATGTTCAAACAATACTTTTATTCACCCCCCAAGGTGGAGGTAATAACTCTCCTGCTAAATTCAGCAGTGGTCAAGGCTGCAGGTTCTATACACTAGTGAGACACAAAAGTGTGAACAGAAGACCATATGGCCGCCTGCATATCATCTCTAACGATATCCTATTGGTGGCTGCCCAGGACGTAGAGACACTTCGCGTGGAAAAGGCCGGAATAGCCAGGCTTTTCGATTTGTAGGCCAGTGATATGACTTTGACTAACCAGGAGGCTATCAGCTTGCTTGAGGCTTTGAGCCCTTTCCTGATTCCAGAAGGAACTACAAAGAGACTTTTTGCTCGCCTGAGACCGACAGTAGCTTCAACATATGCTTTTAGTGTACCACCAACATCCAGCCGACTGACCAGTTGGCCAACTTCAGACCTGAAGGTAGGCAGTACTATCTCCTGTTTAAGATGGAAATCAGTAGTGGCGGGCTCTTCTCTTTGGTTTGGCCGAAAGCGCACAGGCTGTTCAGCCGAGCCGAAGAGAGATGAAGTGGGCCAAATGCAGCCGATGTATAGGTACAAATAGCTGTACACGGCTGCAGTGAATACCCGAAGAGGGTTTCGGTCACTTCACTTCGGCTCAGTTATTCATTCGGCTGCCTACAGCAGCTTAGTGAATAACCCCCTAAATGGAGGTGTCTGCATGAACAAGGTGGTCAAAAAAAAGAAACTGAAATTCATTTGTAGATGCAGTACCTCAATATTTCCACAAGATGGCAGTCTATCAACAGGAATTAATAATGCGCCTTACTAGGACAAGCAATGCACCTGGAAAAGACACAAAGGGGTGTATAAAAAATTTGCACAGCCATTCACCTTTCAAAATTACAGGCAGTGGGGAAGCTAAACATTCTGTCACCCGGGGCAAAGGTTTAGAGTTGCTCCTTCCCAATGTAGACGTTCTCCATCCACACACCCAGTGGCACCCCTCCTAAAGCGGCACCTAGGGCCAGGGGCATAACTAGAAATCACAGGGCGCGTTCCGGTCCAGAAACGCACTGCATCGCATTACGGCCTGCTCACTTTTTTGGGGGGCAGGAGGGGGCCATTAAAGTGAATGGCACCGTAGCCACGCCCAATGCGATCTTCCGCAAGGGATCGCAAGGCAGATTGAGCCTGCGGTCCGGTGCGATCAAAATAGTGCTTGCAGCATCCGCTCTGTTTTGAACAATATGGGACCCAGCACAGAACCCTGAGGCACACCGCTCATTACACTAGCCCAGTCTGAAAAGGTGCCATTTACAGTTGAAGTCTTTATTGTTATTAAGCACCTGTTTTGATTACGTTTCCTGTTTTATATTTTTAGAATCATATGTCACATATACGTTATAGGCATAGTTGTAAATTATCTCAACAATTCCCTGTAGATTAGAGAGTGCAATCAGCACCACTTCTAAATGACCCCTGGAAAACAATAATTGCAGGGCAAGCCACGTACTGTAGATGGTATAAAGTTTTCAGTGACGGAGATGAGTCTGGAAATGCCGAAAGCGTAGCTTGCTGTGCGATAAGCAGATGCGGGCGCTCCCGTGGACATCATTTGCTAGAAACTTGAAAAACAAAATCAACGAAAGATCCAATTTCACATTTGACGCCGGGTC